TAAGTATGTTTATAGTATTTATATTAAAAATATATATTTTTTTAAACAAAAGACTATAGTAATGAAGTGAGCCTGATCTCTAACATTTTTCTGTAGTAGGATATGGCAATGTGTTTTAGCAGTGCTGCTTTGGCTTCAAATACAAAGAACGTAAACGATATAACCAAGTTCTGATGTTGCAGGGGAATATCATAGGAAATTCCCTAATGGAAAAAAAATAGTATAGTCACCGGCCTCCAGCGCTAGAATGCCCTAAGGTATTTGAAAGTTTGCTGAATATGGTGGGTAACTTGATGTAATGCCCTAATGAATAGCTGAGTAGCTGTGTCGTTTCTTGTGGCCCACACTCCAGATAGGATGGTCCTCTTCAGATATATCATATATGCCTGGTTGGGAACCATAAACCAAAGATATTTTCAATGTGGACAAAAAGCATTAGCTTGCTACCCATCATAATCAGCAGTGAAATGCTGAAAAGTAGCTGTAAAACTATTTTCTTCATCAAATATACCATACCAATTGAATTAAAAAAATTGCATAACAAAGACCACATCACCAATATTGACCTTGGTAGGCAAATAGATAGCCGTAAAAGAAAACACATCGGATGAGGGAATCAATTAACCATGTTGTTGTTCTACAATTAGACAACTCAGTTTCTTCTCTTTGCTTTTTTTTTTTTTCTTTTGGACCTCTAATTCTCCTTCTTTGTATATAATGGTAAAATGAAAGAAACAGCAGAAAGTCTAGACTAAGATAAATGAATTGAAAGCTTGCAGTTTCAACCACAGAATTTTATTTATTTAATTAACTATAGCTAGCACTTAAGAGATTTTATTGAGGGTGGGTTTTATCATGCACCCAGAGGGAAGCACTCGTATATAATGTCTTAACATATTCACCACTGATTTGTTGTCATGGTTATCTCCTGGTTGAAAGCAACCCCAGAACAACCCTTTGCTTTTCCATATATTTTGTGGTCCTTGCAATTATGCCAAATTATAGTGGTCGCGATCGAGAATCCGTTAGCCATAAGAGAGAGAAAGAGGGAGAAAGAGGAAGGGTTGAGAAAAGTGGAAGGACGGCACGTATAAATGGAACTATAGACAAAGATAGACAAGGAAAATAAAAAAGATGATTCTAGGTAGAGGGTACTGAGAGAGGGCTTTCAAATGTGGGTGGACTATAGCCATTCTTATAAAGAAAAGTTGATACGGGGCTTTCATTATTGCAACTTGTTATTGGTTAGGGCTTTCAAGAGCTCATGTGCAAGTGGGAATGGCAAGTACAAGCACAAGCAAGAACTATCTTTCTTAGGCTATTTTTGTCTTAAATGTAGTATATTTTATTTTAAATTGCTAAATGTAATTGATATATATATATATATATATATATATATATATATATATATATATATATCAACAAAGAAAGATTTTATTAAAAAGGAACACTAGAAGCATTCCAAATTCACATACAAAATCTACAGTGTTTGTTTAAATTTACTCATAAATTTTATAAGAAACGGGTGCTATAAATATATAAAAATAATAATGAGATATAGCTAAATAAGCACTAGAATAAAATCATTGTGGGCTCATAATTATTGGATTCTCTTCATAGTAATATGGCATATGAATTTCCGCGGACGGAGCATTGGCTCAGTTCAGAGTTCCATAATTCCGAGAAAGTTAGGAGTTGAGTTCAATAATTCAAGGCAATTTATGGATAGATGAGACATAATTTCTCAATAAATCATTGTGATTTATAACTAAATTATGATTCTTTTGTTTAAGCTTGTTACATAATAGAAGAAAATCTTAATAAACAAATTTCCAGCATTAAAAGAAAAAGGGAAAGAAAATAGGACAGAAAAAGGATAAGCACGCATGGGAAGGAGAAGGGCTTATTTATTTTTTTAATGTTTTTTAAAAAACAAATTCTTAAAATAATGATTTTTAAAAACAAATTCCCTGTCTGGAGTCATTTTTGCCACGTCAAGACTTGTTTCGCGTATTGTATAGACGAAATATATATATATATATATATATATATATATATTTATTTTATTTTTTTTAAATGCTATTTCGTCTTTAGCAGAGACGAAACTATCAGATTGCGTCATGTGTCAATATCTAGTATGTTTCGCCTACTGCAGAGACTCAATAAATGGTGCCATGTGTCATGATCTGGATCAATTTACGAAAATGGTTAAAAAAAAGAAAAAAAATATATTTTAATATTTAATTAATATTTATTAAAAATAGAAAATTATAAAATTTAAGAATAAAAAAATTATATAGTTTTCAATTAACTTAATTAACAACTACAAATATATTAAAAATGTATATTGAAATTACACTATATATACTGTATGACGCAAAAAAGAATACCCGCTAATAAAATTATAAATTTATAATTTTTTTTATTCAAACTAGTTTGTAAGTTAGGTGTGATATTTAAAAATCTTAATAATTTATATAATAAAAATGTATTTTTTATAATTTTTATAGATATTTAAACTAAGATTAACAAATTCTTAACACTATATTTTTTTAATATATTTATAATTATTAATTAATTTAATTAAAAATTATCTAAATTTTAATAATTTATTCTTAAATTAAATATTATAATTTTTTTATTTTAATATATTTTAATTAAATATTATATTTTTTTCAATACATTTTTATTAAATTCTAATGCTGCCATTATAAATTTATAATTTTATTAGAAGATATTCTTTTTTGCGTCATATATATTATACATAGTGTAATTTTAATATATATTTTTAAAATATTTATAGTTGTTAATTAAGTTAATTAAAAATTATAAAATTTATTTAATTTTTTTATTCTTAAATTTTATAATTTTTTATTTTTAATAAATTTTAATTAAATATTAAAATATAAAATTTTTCTCTTTTTTAACTACTTTCGTAAATTGATCTAGATCATGACATATGGCACAATTTATTGAGTTTCGTCTGTGCAGTAGGCAAAACTCACCAGATGTTGACACGTAGTGTACTCTGATAGTTTCGTCTCTACTAGAGACGAAATAGTATTTAAAAAATAAAAAAAAAATATTTTATCTATACAATATGCAAAATAGGTCTTGACGTGACAAAAAAGACCCCAAACATAAAATTTGTTTTTAAAAAATATTATTTTAAGAATTTATTTTTTAAAAAACATTAAAAAAATAAATAAGCCAAGGAGAAGCAACAACAAAATTCCAAAGACAGAGAGATCATAGGCATCGCGAGAGAGAGAGAGAGAGATGGCTCTTCTCTTTTTAGTGAAAGCGACGTCCCTTGGAAACCCAGTCAAAGGGAGCATCTCCTCCCTCCGCAGATCTCACAGTGTATGCCCGTTACGGCCAGCCAAATCATATTATTGCAGAGTCTTTACAATAATTACTAACAATATAAATGTTATAAAGATTAACATTCTTTAAGATTTTTTTAAGTGGTTGTTAATGTATCTGTAAACTTAAAAAAATATTCTATATTTTTTTATAAATTAATGATTGTAATTTTTTTCTTTTTCTCTTTTATTATTCAACATAGTTTATGTAAGCTTCATTTAATATTATTTAGTTATTTCATATTTTATGATCAAACTTTTTACGGATTTTATCTAATAAAAGAAATATATAGTAAAAAAAGCATGTCAGAGATTGCATTAATAATATCTTTGGGGCAAAGGGCAGGTTTACAGGGAGACATGCGTGAGTTTGTCTAAAATTGTCATAGAATTTTATTGTGTGTGTGTATATATATAAATATTACATATTTTTATTATCTTCTAATTTCTCTCTTCATTGTTTAATGATTTTTATGTAAAAATCTAATTACTCAAAAATTGAATCTTGTGTCTTACTAACATAGTTATGTATATCAATTTTAAATTGTAAATCATCTATCTTTTAAAAACTTAATAATTTTAAATTTTTACTATCACAGGAGAATTTAATTGAATTGTATTTATAAAATAGCAGCCATATGTATTATTTAATAGAAAGAGGGAAGTTTGTATAATTGTACAGAGTCATAATAAAATATTCGTGATGTAAGAGAGAGGTTTGTATAATCATACAAAATCTATAATAAAAATATTTTTATCAGTTACATACAAAGTATAAATATAATATATTTATAAAATAAAATAGTGAATTTTGTAAAAAATGAAAAGTAAAAGAAAGATAAAGCAATGCACTCTTAAAATAAAAAGAAAATAGACAATAAGTTACGGATTCAATGAAAATAGTTTTGAAGGAATGAATAAAAGGTATATAGATTTATTAAGTAATATAATAGTCTTTTTTCGAAAATGGACCCTGAAAATAATGTGAAACTTTCAATAAAAAGTGACGGCATGTGAATGGATGTAGTGATGCAATGTGAAGAGAGTGTATGGCAAATGAAAGTGTGTGTATTGAAAGGAGAATGGGAGGGGTGAAGTGGGGCTATTGAGTGAGTGATGTGATGAGGGGGGGGCGTGGAGCTGAGTTTGTTGGCTTTGGTTCCCAGTCAACTCGCACCTGCTCACCACGTGAAGTGCCACAAATTACAACTTCTTTTGTCCACTCATTTCTCACTAACTTTTTGCCAAAAAGGAAGAAAGATTATGAATATTTTAGAAAAGGTAGTTCCTTGTCTATGCCATGAATAAATAAATAATAAATTGTCCTTCTCGGGTTCTCTATCTGTTACACACCTTCTTTACTACTCTGGTTTCTCTCCCTCTCTCTCTCTCTCGAATGTGTATTACTGCCTGTGCTGTCTTTCTCAAACTACAGTACTCGCTTCACGAATCGCCAATATTGTACAATTACAATATATATCTTTGCTCTCACAGAACATACGCATGAACACAATCACACACACATATTCATGTTGCATCATCAAACGGTCTACCTCAATTCCCCCCTCTAGTAAACACAAAAGCATTTCAAATTATGTGTTGCCTTGGTTGGTTTACTTGCAGGGAGAAAGCAATAGATGTTTGTTGAATAATAATAAACGTCGTTCTCAAACTCTCTTAATAGTCCTTTAACCTGCACCTCCTCCAAGTGTAGTGCTAGTAACTAGTAGTAGTAGTAGTAGGGTTATTAATTTGGTGCAATGCAATCTCAAACTTCAGATATGTTTGTTCTCTCAAACTCAAATACCTCCCACAATGGCAATTACCCAATTTCCTATTCTGACCAAGCATTTTCCTGCTGCAGACCCTTTTCCATTGACTCTGAAAGCAACCAAGCATCAAAACAAGAAAACAACAACTGTGACCTTTCTTCTCCCCCACCCTTGTCCTTTTTCCACTTCCCTTCTCCTCCCTTTGAAGACACCGAAATTTTCCTCCAACACCACCACGATTTCCTTCTTCATCAAACTCTATCTCATGACCCTGAGCCTCAACCCTTTATCACCGTCGAGGGTTCTATTAGAAGTGCTGAGCAGATCCCACGAAGAAAACATGGCAAGAAAGATAGGCACAGTAAGATTAACACGGCAAGAGGACTCAGGGATCGGAGAATGAGACTGTCCCTTGAAGTTGCAAAGAGGTTTTTCGGCTTGCAAGACATGCTAGGCTTTGACAAAGCTAGCAAAACCGTGGAGTGGTTACTAAACCAAGCCAAAGTTGAAATCAATCAACTAGAAAGAGAGAACAACAAGAATAAGAAGAAGAATCATCACACTTGTTGTAGCAGTGCTGGTGCCAAGAGTGCTGCTTCAACTTCGGAATGTGAAGAGGGTGTCTCTAGCCTTGATGAGGTTGTAGTGAGTGGAAATCAAGAACCACAAGAGGTGGTGCCCAAAGTTGTGAAGAGAAAGAAGATCAAGCATTCTAGAAAGAGTGCATTCCACCCACTTGCAAAGGAGTGTAGGAAAAAGGCGAGGGAGAGGGCAAGAGAGAGGACGAAAGAAAAGATGAGAAATCGTGGACTAGTTGATGATTCAAAGCAATGTAGAGAGGACATAAATCATGATCTGACCCAATTGGGTTCTTGGAACCCCTTTGGAACCGGTGAACAATGTGGTACTAAGAGCCGTACTGTGAATCCTTCCTTGGATGTTCTGACTGAGGCTAAAAAAGGAAGCCATCCCGCAAAGGAGCATTTGGGGACTGTAGATGCCATGGCACATGATGATGCTTTGGCTAGTTTGAGCAAATGGGGGCCATCCATGATTTTCAGTTCTCTAAGTAATTCTGGATTTCCTCAAGAAGTAAGTCTCAATTAGTGCTGTCAGGTAGATAACTTCACTTCCACACCTTATTAGTGCATATAATATTAATATATATATATATGCTGCTTTTACATTTTACAATAAGGTTCTGTCACTTGCTTACAACCACACATCTTTTATGCTAAGTGCATAAGGATCAAATTGCATCAGTGACATTTCTGCTGATTACTCCATGAAACCTTCTACAGCATCAATTAGCAGAATTTCGGTTCTTGGGAAAACCGTGGAAGGCATAAAAACAACATCCGATGTCTTTGATATGCCAACCGAAATGCGCAAGCCTGCTATGTGTTTCATAACTTTCCTTTCAGAGTTTAATGGAGTATAAGGTACCTTTCGCATCTAAGAAATCAAGGAAGAAAAAATATATGTTAAACGGTTGTACTTCATTTCCATAACATTTTTCCTTGTTTATGCTCTGACCCTACCTATTAATTCAGTGACATGGTACAAATTCAATAGTATATCTCTATAATGGTCGTATGCATCCTTTTAATTAAGAAAAATATCTAACTGCATCTTATTTATTTTTATCCAAATCTGGGTTTCACTGCATTAACCTGAAGCATTTTAGTATTGGCGTGGAGATGTCTCAAATTTATATGTGCTGCTTTTGCCGACATATGCATTTACAGAATTTGTCTGCGATGTATTGACATACTTGCATTAATTTCTTTTTAAATGAGTCCAATTAGAATAGGATAATATAGGGTCACTTCTCAGATGTATATAATTTCTTGTCTTTGGGAGCATCCCATGTGTCTTCAAACGTTTGATACTTATCTTTAGAGATGTGACTGAATTGACACTTCAGTGATCCACAACATTCCCCTTAAAGTCAAGTTTAAAATTGACTTCATCATATGAATATTCAACATTTTTTTTTCGAAAGAGAAATAAATGTATTAAATTTAAAAAGGAAAACATTGAGAACATTCCTCTTAACTAGGAGGAATTATCCAAAATGTTTTTCACCGATTCAGCGGCAAGCCCAAAAGTTCAGTTATAGCACCTTTGCTTTGCTAAGTATCATCAAAGAGTTTGTTCCTTTCCCTACCCACACAAACAACAGCCACACAGTTAACTTTTTCTATTAAAAATTAACTATATTTAGAAAATTTTACAATATCCAAAGCCTAAAATGATATGTACCCAGCCAACAGCTAGCTAGAGTAGAGTAACTCTAGGAGTAATATCACCTCATTAGAAAACATGTAAGGGTGAAACTAAAAACCTTAAGGAAAATTATATCTGGAAGTAAAATATAAAATAGTTTTAAGACATCAAGAATAAAAAACTGAGAAGTCAAGAATTAGAGGACTAAACGAGTGAAACTCTTTTCCTCTCCCCCTCCTCCCTCCCCGCTTCTCTATTTATCTATTTATATAGAGAATGTTTATTATCACTCTTATATATTTATCATTATTTTTATTTTAAAAGATATTTATAAAATATTTTTACTATTAATATTGTTATAAGAGAAAAAAATATTTTAAATAAAATAATTTAAATAAGAGTGACCACAAATACATGTGTGTATATTTTAACATGTTTTTATAAAACTAACAGAAAGCAATTTTGTGTTTTAAAACAAATGGAAGGTAATCTTGATGCTAACCCAATCTCTTAACGTAATGAAGAAAAGTTATTTACTCCTTGGGCGTGATCAAATATGCTACTAGTACGTCAAGCTTAAACCTATCTTCTGGGTGGACCAAAAACAAACTAACCTATCTCCTGGAGATGAACGGTGTTTTAATTAGTGTTCCTACGTGCAGGTCTCATGTAATCAATTGAATGGAATATTTGATTCAAGTAAAAGTATTGTATTATTTGGCATTTGATTTTTCTAGTGTCAGAAAGTAGATTTTATAAGATAAAGAGTAGTCATAATTATTGATTAAAATATTTACTGTTGAAAATAAAAATACATGGACATGCATAACTAATAACAAAGTAGTTAAATTATCAATCTTTGTTTTTCTAATTAATAATTATAAATACACTTTATCATCTATAGTGTACTGTTTTACTCTAGAGAAGTTAGATTTGAATTATATCTCTCTTCTATAATAAAAGGTTTCTGCTTTAAAAATGCAGTTACAACCATTTATTAAAGAATCAGCAGCTGAAGTTTTAACTTTATAATTTGTTATGTATACAATCTCAGCCACCAATTTTCTTAATATATGTACCTTAGTCTCTAAAATATGCCTTTTATTTTAGAAAATTCAAATTTCTATAAAAAAAAATATAAGTTACTAATATTCATTTGATGTAAGGGACAATCATACGTCAAATGAATGTTGCATTGTCTTAAACATTTCCTCCAATACGTAAAAGAGCTGAACAAGATAGTCAGCTGTTACAGGTTGATTTAATAAGAATGTTGAGTTACTCAAGGTTAGATCCAAAGGTCATGGTTTTCTTCTCAAAAAATATTTTTTTGAGCGTTTCGTTCTCCTAAAACTTAGTCAAACCTTATTTCCTTATTGGTGTGTTAATCTCATAGGTTGGACAGATTATTCTGTTAGCTAATGATTTGCTTATTTCCTCCTTTAATAATGTCTTTTATCTTCTAAAATCAATAATAGGTCTAATGAGAAAACACTTTTTAACAAGATAAAAATTCCTTACTATTATAATAACATGTTTGGTACAATTTAAATATAATTCACTTTTGTTTTTAGAAACGCTCACAGTGAACTGTTAAAATAAGCTATACCAAACACATGTTAAGTTATTTCTTAATTGTCTAGCTTTTTCTTAGCCAGGACGAAACACTTCTAATGGAAGATTATGATTAAAGATCGGGAAAAGGAAAAAGACTTCAGCATAATCTATTCTTTTAATTTTCCACATCATTCTTTATGAAACAAAGATTAACATATGAGACGTTGATTTTTTATAACCTACTTTTAAAATGACATAGACAATATGTGTGACAATTTTTTTCTTTTGATATAAGGAAAACCTGATATAACAAACTTGTATTTCTTTATAAAACATTTATGAGGAAAACAATTACAGTCATACGTACATGTACATATAAATACAATATATATGCGTGTGCAGGCAGGAGATATAGCCAATTAGATCTCCCTTTGCTAATCACAACTCATAACTCTGATTGCATGGATGAAGCATTAGCTATATCATGACAAAGGTGTGGAGAAAATGCCATGGTTGTTGCAAGTAAATTTAGCGAGCCATTTATATTCTGGGAAAGAAACAGAAAATTTTTCTTAGACTGACATTAATTTCCTAACTGAAGTATCTATATAACAGAGATGTTGAAGTGCTTTTCAAATCTAGTATTATGAAAGGTTTAGTTTATCTGTTGTGGGTGTTAATTTTGAAAGTAGCAATGTCCCCTACCGTTTCGATAGCCCTCCAGAATAACACATTTAAGAACAAGGGTGAAAGTTGGCATCATTATTTTGTCAGAGTCAATTAGTAATTGCACTGAAAAAAGAATTAGTAATACAACTGATTGATTACTAGAGTTTTTCCTTTTCTCTGCTTTCTGTAATGTAGTTTAGGTACCTACAATCTTAGACTTAGCTTGTTAGTGATAGCAGCTCTCTCTTTTTCTTTTTTAAGTAGGATAGCCGCTAGCTAGATTTCGGGTCATAAGTTTCCTTTACTCAGAACCTATATATATATATATATATATATAAAATATAATTCAAATACTTTTTATAAAGTTTAAATATAATTAAAAAAAGACCCTCCATTTTAGCTCCCCTGTAAAATTGAAAACTTTGAAGTAGAAAAAACTATAGATTAGTTGAATAAAATTATCTTTAAAATTTAATAATTTTATTTAAATATCTTAATTATATAATAATAAATGTATTTACTTTTTCTTTTCTTTCTTATGAATGGTGTCCCGTCCTTCTATTAAAATCTCTCTCTTTTTCTCTATTAAAATATTTACCCACTTCAAAACCAAAAGTTAGTAAAGCTATTTTAAAGACTGTAATCAGATACAATTAAGATAATAAGATGAATAATAAAAGAGCACTCGTTCATATATCAAGACTTTATAAGCATCAAGTCTCGCTGACACACTAAAAAGTCTTGCTAAGTAATTAGATAATGCTTGATATACTACACTGACCTTTTAATGCTATGCACAAATTAATGGTGCACTGAACATATCCTTCAATGTGATGATCACTGTCCAATTTAAAGGCTCTTAGGTCCCAACATTTTACGTTGCATGCTCTCTTCTTGTTTCTAAACGGAAAGGGTTAGGGAAAACAGCTTTGGTCATTTGAGTTACCAAATGAAAATCTGAAACAATAAACATATAAGGAAAAGGAGAGATGTATAAAAATATCATTGAAGTAAAGTTGTAGATTAGCGATAAAATAATGTATAATGCCGGAATTGACCCAACAAATTATGACAGAAATAACATATTTTCTGCGTAACATTAATTTTAGACACTATGCATCATCAAAGTTATTATTTTAAAATTAAAATACTGATTTCATTCAATATTATTATTAAGGTGAAACTCAATATGAAACGTGTGTCATTTTTCTTATTATTGATTAAATAAATTGAAGTTAATTTCTTAAATGACTGATTATATCATTCTCCATCTTTTAAAAATTAAATTTATGTCCCTTCTTTAACCAAAAAAATTAACTTCACTTGTTGTTTAAGATTAAATTGATATCAATTTACTTTTACTTATATTTATTATACTTTTAAAAGTCAACTATAAAATCATAATTAAAAATATTTGACAACTCACTTGAATACAAATACGGATCCATTAACCACATAAGAGAAATCTATTGGTGTAGAACAATATAGGCTAAGAGAAAGAAATCACTATCGATTATCTATCTGGCCATCTCTATAATGACAATCACCCCATCTCATTTGTCAATATTACTAACCACACGGAGAAATAGTTCCACAAACAATTTTATATAAACAAGGAAACCATAGATGGTATAAAAGTTTAACAAGTTCTTTAAAAAATTAATCTATCAAAACAGTGACAGCATAATACTTTTTTCAATATAGTCCTTATTGTAATTAGTTGAATTTTATCAAAATATTATTGAATTACATTAGTATCATTCCATATCTAGTAAAGTATATATACGTGAATTTTACTCAATAATAAATAATTTGTTAATGATATATTATTATAACATTTTTCAATTATCCATTTACACTGAAATGAGAGTTGTGAAACTCATTAACTATATATAATTAG